GAGGTTCGTACTCGACCTCGTTTTGGAGTAAAACGAATTTTGCCGAGGTTCGTACTCGACCTCGTTTTGGAGTAAAACGAATTTTGCTGAGGTTCGTACTCGACCTCGTTTTGGAGTAAAACAAATTTTGCCGAGGTTCGTACTCGACCTCGTTTTGGAGTAAAACGAATTTTGCCGAGGTTCGTACTCGACCTCATTTTGGAGTTAAACGAATTTTGCCGAGGTTCGTACTCGACCTCAAACGAATTTTGCCGAGGTTCGTACTCGACCTCGTTTTGGTGTGAAACGAATTTTGCCGAGGTTCGTACTCTACCTCGTTTTGGAGTAAAACGAATTTGTGCATTTCACCAAGGTCCAAACTTGACCTCGGATAAGAGTGTTAAGGTTCGTACTCGACCTTATAATTTTAACGAGGTTCGGACTCAACCTCGGATGAGAGTGTTGAGGTTCGTGCTCGGCCTCATAATTTTAACGGGGTTCGGATATAAATAAATATTATAAATAAAAATTGGATTAAATAAAAAGTTAAAAAATTCTTATAAATATTTTTTTGTTGAGGAAAAATTTCTAAAAATACTTTCTAGTTGATGTTTAATATATAAAAATTGATTTTATAAAATATTTTTTAAGTCACTTACAATATTTTAGGATGTTGATTTTAATTTTTATAAATAATTAATGTGATTTATTAAGAGTTATATGATTTTAATCCGTCATTATAACTTAAAAATGTGTGTTCTTGATATTATATTTTTGTAGAGATTAATTACTTTTTTCTTTGAAAAGAAATATAAAAAATGTATCTTAGACTCGGCGGTCCGATTGATGTATCTTGGCAACACTGACGTGTAGAGGCCGACGCTTGGAGGCCATCGAGCAAAGGTGGATGGAGATGGCACGTGGAGGTTGTCTTGGAGAATCCAGCCGTCAAGCAGCTTCTACACAGCAAAAATGGCGACTCCCGTTCACGGTAGTGGACGCACATTGGTTCCTTCTCATCAAGTCTTTATTTTTCTCCTCAATGAACCTATTTTGAGAATTTTTTTTTTTTCTTAAGCAATGGAACTGCTACAAGGAATTTTATTATAATTTAAGGAACATAGTTTGCCACCTAGATCATCTCCAATACAAAGTTTTAATAAGAAACAATGAGGTATAGTTTAAAAATGAATAAATAATTCATACTGGCGATGCTCTTATAAAACAATAATAATTAATAAAATAAATTTTTTGATTAAATATCTACAAAATTATTGAGACTTTTTTATTTTTTTTATTATGAAGAGTAGCATTATGGAGAGACACCTCAATATGATATTGTCAATGACATTAAAATTGCTAGTAAAAATCAATATACAAAATTACAATATAAGTTCAAATTGTCAATGAAGCCATTTAGATACAATTACTCAACTAGTTTTAAAGAACCATAAAATCTCCTTGATAATGATTATGCATCAAGCAAAAAAACCGTTTGAAAATTCAAACTCGCACCTATAATAAAGATGAAAGTTAATACCGAGTATTTAGTTATTTGATTTAATATGCATTGACTAACACTTAAAATGTAAAGTTTACGTACATAAAGAATTAGAACTTGAGTTTATACATAAGATAAAAAAAAACTGATTCAAAGACACTCATGTGTAGATCCACACTTAAATCAAGAGAAGAAAAAAATTATTAATATAATAAAAAAATATCAACTATAATTATATATGTAAAAATTTCCATATATTATTACACTATTAGATAAGTGTGTCAGTACAATCCAATGACTAGAGTCAACTTTAGTTGTCATCTTAACAATAAAACAATTAAAATTCTACAAGCTAGCGTGAGAGATGTGTTTTACAAAGAGTTGAGTCTTTTAAATGAGGCCAGCCCACGTTCTCATAACATAACTTGGCCCAATTACAAGCAAGCCCTTTAGGGCCTATCCTTGATTTGGCGGATCATTCATCATTATCCGTAACTTGGTGGATCGGAACATTGTTGTTTTTTTTTTTTTTATACTTCTAAAAAAGTCATTAAACAAATTTTTTTAAATAATAATTTTTTTTCTTTGTCTTGTTGAGGTGTTATTTTTAAATTAGAGAAAAAGCAAAAAAGTGAAATGTGACTAGAGTCCCTCCAATTTTTTCCTTTGGCAAGCATTATATATATATATATGCAATTTTGTTTTGACTTCTCACGGGGGTTGAGGATCTATTCTTTGTGTACTTTATATTGATTTTGTTTTGGGAAGTCACTCCTACCAAAAGAATAAGAGCAAACCAACTGGGTAGTACAACTAATTAAGTTTCCAAGATTTGTGTGTGCAATATCAATTTGCAATGGTAATGACGGTATAGTGTTATGACTACAATTATAGATTATGAATCAATTTAGTTCATCCTTTGTTAGCTAATGACATAGAACATCGTTAAAAAGACTAAATTAATTATAATAAGTGTATGAGTGATAGCCAAACTAAGCATATATATGTAGTTGTAAGTTGTAACGTCACATGGACAAAAAAAGAATTAAACATGGATAAAATAATAATAATAGATTATGAAAATTGTATGATGTAGATACATAAATAGAGAGTGACATAGTAGTATATTATATACAACAGACGCACACGGAGGTACATACTAAAAAGCAGTTAATTTTTTAGGCGTAGGCTAAGTTGTCTATAAGGTGGAGAATCTAATGTCACGTGAAAAGATGGATCTTGGAATGCGTCAAAATTTGTTTGGTGATTACGGTGTTTAATGAGAGGTAGCATTGAAAAGCGGAACTGGAATTAAAGTGGAATGTAATGTACTGTATGAAATTGAAAATGAAAATGGAGGGAGTATTGCAGCAGAGGCATTTGATTTTGCTGAGAGGTTTCTGGTGAGTTTGGTTGGCACATGAAATGGATCCGTTAATGGCGTTTCAATGCTGCACTCTGCTCCGTAACACCAAACCCTCTCTGCCTCCATATTTAGAGGCTAATCTGTAGGTATGCAACTAAATGCTTCGCATGCATTTCAATGAGGGGGTTGAGAATTCAATTCAAGGTTTCATCAATAGGGTATTAAAATTTATGGCTTCGATCTGCTTCGATTGTACTATACAATATCTGTGTAAATGCTGCAACCAGCAAGTGCTGCTTGCGTTACATTTGACTCCTTTTAATGAAATTTAATTTCTCTCTTCGCATCTCCTCTCTATCTGTTTGGTAGGGAAGTTATGCAAATAAACTTCCCTTACTTCCACTACTAACTGCGACTCCAAATTCCTCTTTCAAACTTCCATCCACCAAATTCTTCACACTCATTATTATTATTAACTATCACCTATGGGTACATAATTTTCCTATGTCTTACATAAACAAAAGTACCAAATGTGGTAAGATCAATTTCAATTCCTCATCTACCACCAATACAGATAAAATAATGCAAAAGTAAATGTCCAATACAGCATACAAAACTAAAGATCCATTTCAGACTCTCACCATAACGTAACGCCTACATCATGTTTGACTTTCGCTCATCCAACTTTAAGGTTTTGCTA